ACGAAAGACTACTACACTGCACATATCGTCTCATCATCGCGCAAATCCAGAAATACGCTCAACACCCAGGAATCTACGACTACTGGATCTGAGAACTTGGCATTGCTGTTAGATGAATTTTCTATCAATCGCGATTAGCAACATCCCATATAACGTATTCTTGACGAACCAACTGATTGGTGTTGAAAGGTATCTCATTGCTCGGGAAGGCCTTCGACTGACCTGGGTAAGTTAAAGTACATGCATCAACAGTGGTTGCATAGCTTTAGGTTTTTACTTTACCTTATAGTTTATTTTTGGTTTGCGCTTTTATATGATTTGCAAAATTTCTATCCATGTTTTAAACATGAATCTGTTGAGTGTGTGTCTTCTTGTGGCAACTGTAAGCAAAAGCTGACATCTTCCAGGAACCCAAACGCTTCCCAAACGACATTGCAATTCAGATCTGGGAGAATAGAAAAAAGGGAAAGTTGACATCTACTGACATATCCGGTAGTTTGATCATCAGTCCTCTTTTGAGTCTGTCTCCTCGACCACATCTGCTACGGCTGGTCAGCCGTGCCAGACACGCAACGCAGTCTTCAGCCAAAATTCCGTGTTTTCAATTGCTTCAGAAAGTCAATCCTCTTCGAATAAGTCTTAGTCTATCTGCGATAAGTGGCAGTTTACACTATCTGACTCCTCCGACTAGGCCAACCAATTGACCTACAGCTCCTCGAGCCAGAGTTAGCGCCAAATCTTGACCAGGAGTGACCTTCAAGTTTGTTCAGCCCAGTTGATTCACAGTCCCACCTTATCGACTCAAATTGAACAAACCTCTCCGTTTGGGTCCTGGGAATGTTTTAGTTAATGTTCTTTGCAATTAAATTCAACCACTGAGGCGAAATGAGCTTTTGAACCAGCCGACATCCAGTTAGCCAACATCAATTGCCGAGAGCGCTCAACAGCGCATTTTTAAGCTCTTGTGAAAATCCTCCACAGCTATCCTTTAGTTCCCAAATTTCTTCGGAATCAGTTCGATTTCAGAGAACCCAGCGACGTTCTAATTTCAAAATAACATCACCCTTACGGAACCAAAAAGCTCTACAACAGTGGAACTGCAATCAAAATAGCCGAAACTCCGCCAGCGCATCTCTCGCTGCACCAGAGTCAGAGATCTTGTCGATCCCATTCACCATTGGCCAGTCCAGTTTATCCCATACGCCAATATATCATCTCTCTTAACACACACCTCGCTATTGTATCAAATCTCTTTGTGACTATTTCCAAAGGACACCCAGTTTTATTATCATTTGTCGCTAATACAAGGCCGTTAGCATAACCAAACACCCATTAACCCGGGGGGACCATTTCAAGCTGGAGAGTTGACACCGTCCCTGAAAGTATCGAGGCAGTTGTTTTAAATCAACCGTCGAACCCTGGGATCCATCAAACAGTTTTTTGTCTTGTCGTAATTCAGGTAATATCCGCGCTTTGGCATCATTGCAATTGCCATCCAACGACAGGCCATAACAGATCCAAATTTTCCACCCAACTCCATCATCAATATGAATGAATCTTCGCCCACAAGTGATTCACCAAACCCCCCTACGAGCATGGAGGAAGCCCGCTGTAATAACCCGGGAACGAATTTCCGAGAGAAAATGAGATATATTCGTGCGCATGAACGGTCTCTCATCCAAGAGCCGCAAAGTGTCAGTGCGAGTGTGACACCTTCGTCTGCAGGCGACATTGAACCGTCTCAATCTGCTCCAGCCAGAGATACGGTTTCACCTTTAAATGTACGCGTGGATAAAGAGCCCACTACGCATCCGGCCCATGTCGCTGTGACTACCGAAGCCCCAAGCACATTTATTGCGCCCCAGGCGCTACATTATACACTGGAAAATCCAGTTGAAGCGGCAGAATTACTTGCAGAGTCCCAACCAAATCTTGCTGGAGAGATAGATGTTCCGGAAGTTGTTGCAGAACCAATAGGGGAACACCTAGCAGAATTGGAACCGCCCGCTCCTTCTATTGAAGAAACTCCAGAATCACAATATGTAGGCATTCAACTGGGGCCAATGGAATATGCTATTCCTCTGTCAATGGACCCCAGAGTAAAGGATGACTATGATATAACTATTTCTTCTAACAACAAGAATATTCTTAAATTTCTGGAGGACACTTCATTGTTGGAAACAGGCAAGAGTTCTGCTTCAGAGGTTGGTAACCCTTGACCCCGATGTAAAAAGTCTCCCAATTCTCACATATATATATAGTATGACACGCATGTCTTTAAGATGAGGAAGATGATTAATAGGCTGGATAACATAACAACGCATCCTGACTTGAATGACCAACCGGCTGCCCCAGGAGCTAATCCGGTCAAAGAAGCCGCATGGGCCGAATATTCGAGCTCGAAGTTCCAATTTCTTGGTTACTTGATTGATGTGGCCAGAAATGATGATTTTCATATTATTATCGTTGCAAAAACAGATATGGTTGTCAAGATCGTGGAAAATTACCTTATAGGCAAGGGATTTACGCACACTCAACCAGCAGCGGATACCTCAGGTGATACTGAACTAGCTCTTTCCAGTGGCCAGCTCAGTTTTGGGGTCCGAGTGGCAACAGATGAGAGAATATCGCAACCATACAAAACTCCGGTCGCAATCATTGCCTTAGATAATTCTTTTGATGCAGAAAACCCAGCAATTCGCCAAATACGATCGAGTTTTTCGCCCACTGATTCCCTTTTACCAGTTATTCGCCTGCTTGTCTCTAATACGCTAGAACACATTGAAAGATGCTTGCCGCAAACATCAGAACTGACTAAGCTTCATCTTCTCGTTAAGTGCACTCAGGATCTTAGTGATACAGCTGGAGAACTTCAAGACGACGCCCTGGGAGCTCAAGAAAATGCTGTAGAAGTTGCCCTCTATTTAAGAACGGAGCCTTCAGCCCGCGTTTGGTCTGTTGCAGCTGTTGAATTGATACCCGTAGAGACACCAGATGGGACTCCAATTGCCTTGGAAGCAGCGCAGATTCGATCCATGACGTCTTCTGGCCAAAAAAGACTGTTGGTGAGTGCGTCAATATCAAGCCTTGAGATTCACGATACTAATAAACCTGCAGGAAAATGAAGAGGACGAGGATGGCAATCAATCCAAGAGACAAAGAATGACACCTTTCCAAGATATTACCCACGTCAGCGATTCGATGAAGGGTCAAACACAAACCAAAGATGAGGTCAACTCCCATCTCAGTGAACTGAGTCTGGTTAAAGCGAAAAACGCCATGGAATTCGAAGTTAATCAACTTCAAATTACGTTGGAGAATATGCAAGTGCGCCTGGAAACGACGGAAAAGAGCTTCTCGAAACTTCAACACCGGTATGAAACCAGACTAAACAATTACCATAAATTGCGACAAGAGCTCGACCAAGTCCTTGAAGCGTCACAGAAATCTTCGGATCGTCTCGAACGACAAAAAATAGAAATTGCCAAGCTCAAAGATGATAAAGCCGCTTTAACTAAGGATCTAGAAGAGGCCAGGAACACTATAAAGGAGGGAGGAGGCACGGATGCAGACCTCGAAAAGGCCCGCGAGGAGGTGCGCCGCCTGACGAAGGAAAATGCCAGCCTCCAACGAATTGTCCAACAAGAACGTTCGCAAACAGAATATACACGACAACAATACCAAAACGCCTCCACAGCCGCGGCCCAAACAGCTATGGAGCTTCGCCAGCTCGAGGAAGAGATAGGCGAACTGAAGTTAAAGACAACTGCTGACTTGGCAAAATTAAAGCAACTGCGATTGAAAAGCGACGAACAAACGCATCTTTCGCGGATTAAGGAGCTGGAAACGAAGCTATCACAGAGGGATGAGATGTTGAATCGGAAGGAGGAGGAGCTTCGGGAGATGAAGAAAAATCGACCGTCGACGAGGGCGACTAGTCTGCAGCCTCGCAGCCCAAAATGGGGGGCCAGTCGGCCTGCGAGTCCCGGGCCGATTAATGTTGGTGGTGGAAGTATTCGGGGTAGTGCTTTAAGGTTTCCGTGCTGATTTATGATGATGCCATATGTGTACGTTTGTATTAACAAATTTTTATCCCTCATGGCTAAGTTGGCGGGCGGGTGGGTTATTTCTTATCTTCTATTCTCAGGACGAAAATTCCCTGGATATATCTTTGGTGTGCTATATAACGCTTAGGGGAAATGTTTGTCCTTTGCCAAGAAGTCAGTGAAGTAAAAGGAAGAGAGCAAATGTTGGAATGGAAGGAGGAAGATCTGTGTCGGAGGGAGTTTTTTGTTGTTCATTTCTATTTTATTTCGGCACCTCCTTTCAGCATCTTTTTTCCATCTTCGTTTGGACAACAAAATACAGAGCCAGATGCAATACAGATACGGGCGCAACGAGTAAAATACGTCAATAGGCATGCTTTATGAGTTTTTTTCCACTGACTGGTTTCTCCTTATCGCCGGTTTGTTTTCTCCATTTCGGTGATGTTTATTGTTCAGTTTCTTTTGAGCATCCCACGTAGCCAGAAACCTAGATTGGTTATTTGTTTGTTGCGAGAATACTGTAAAAGGTCTAGACATTAATGTAATCATGAAAGGATTCAAATAAACTTACCTACCCTAACTGCGGGTTGTTTTGATGATTCATGGATTTTGTAATTATCTTTGTGGGAGTTGGCGATGGCGGGAGGATCTGGCACTCTCCACGGAGTCTGGTTGATAAACCGGAGTTTAATTATATTTAATCTATCAACATCTAGGCCTCAACAACCAATAACTGACCTTGGTCTTCCCAACCTTACCAACATCCTCCCACAGTAGCTCCAAGCTAGAGAATGTCCAGGAAGATACAGGTTATTCTACACATACACAAGAATACTAACCTTTATAAATACATTACACACTTTACAAAGAAATACTGTATGCTTCACCTCTCAATCCGTTCTCCTTTCAACTTATGCATCAAAAAAGTCGGACAACAGCATTCCCAGTCCAACAATGAACATGCAAGCCTCCATTATGGACATTCCAGATCTCTCCACTGCCCCTCTCACATCGCCTACTCGCAAGTTCGAAGGAACTGCATATCCCAACGCCAAAGACGCGCTCTCCAACGGCCTCTTCCGCCTCCGGACAGACCATGTCAGAGGAGCGAAAGGGCTCTAGTCTCCCTGGTACGCATGCAGAACTCATTGGGGAGAGGGTGATTGCAGAGTCAAGGGGTAAACGGTAGCAAATTGCGTGATTCTCAACATTCGCCGTTGGAGACGTGGTGGGAGTCGTGTCGTAAGGCAGGATGAATTTATCTAAGTATGGACGGCCTAGTATGAATGCGTCGATTACGAGTGCGATTGTCAAGGCATTGGATAGGAAGAGGTTGGGGGTGGTGGATTTGGACGAAGGGGAGGTTCAAGATCGGTATGGTGAGCGCGGGGAGAGGAGGTCATCGGTGCTCACCAGCGATGAGGGGTGGGAGGCAGGGATGGTGGATGGCGACTGGGATGGGGAGAGAGGCATTCAGGTGACGGTAGGGAAGATGCATGACTATTTGCGGGAGAGATATGGGAATGCTACGCGGACTTGAATTGGGGAGGGTTTACGGCAGCTTTTATACGGGAAGGTTCTAGAAGAGAAGTACAAGCGGGTCGTTAAAATCTTGACGTTGAGTTCTAGTGCGACAGTTATGATTGCTAACCGTCTTGGAGACAGAAAACAAGGAGAATTCAAGTGGTGGATTGCATGTTCAATTGAAGATGATGCAATCGCGGCCGCTCTGTGACGGGGTAAAGTTGGCGAGAGACCTTGTCCATGGTGCACAAGCCGTTGAGGCGGCTCATCGGTTACATAACTATATCGCATCGGATGCTAGCGTTGCGATCCTGGAGCCGGATGTTGATGTTGTCATGATAGAGGCTGATCGGATAAATATCTGACAGCGGGGACGTGAGCAACAAAACAGGCAGTTTACCTGCAGTACTTTGCTCGAGAGTGGTGTTAGGTAGAGTATCAGTGGTTGAAATATCTGACCTTTATAAGGTTTCTAAGCCTGGTGCAATAAAAGATTATACAGAGGGAGAAAATGACATTTGAGAACTGGAGCGTCTATATTTGGGCTCCAACCCAGCGGACAACATAAATGCGAACGTCTGGCACACGATGGTGGAATCTCGAAACGTATCCTTCGAGTGGAGGTCTGGCCAAATATATTGACCTGACCCGGTATATCTGCAAGACAGGCATTCTGGATCTTAATGAGATCAGAGACCAGTCTCTCTCAATGGGCATTGAACGTGGAGAAACAATTGTTTGGCTGTTTCCATTGATCCGGGCCCTTGCAAAAAGCTGCACAAACGACCCAACCATGGGAATGAAGGCTGGCAGTTGGTCTGTGCAGCGTATTATCCAACTAAAACGCGCATCGTTATTCTTCTATTCCAAGGTTGAGCAGTGCCATACTGCGTATAGACTACAGAACATAGATCCACAAAAGTATACTTACTCCATTATTCCTTATTGAGTTGTCTTATCCGTGATATCTGGTTTTTCCCGCTGTGGAGAGCCTCAGCCCTACCGATCGACGCTAGACCCAAAACAGCAATTCGTAAACAACAACCAACAACATCAAGATCTGCATAGCTTCAGACGACAAAAACAACAACAAGAGTAAAAATCACATACAGCAACATCATTACACCAATGCAACATACCGCTATTTTACGTACAACATCTCATCATATTTGACGTGGTACAGTTATGGTTTTCTGGCCGTATGGAGTTATTACACATCTGAGATCAGCTACGACTGGGTCCACAGCCGCCTCTGTGTTTAAATACCCCGTGCTTTTTACGCCCATTGCCTCACCTCCCCTGTCGCTCGTTACTAGGCGATTGTGCTGCATTGTTTTGTCCCACTCCGTACCCAGCAGGCTGGTCGCATCTGAAATACCACATCTCCTGTTTACACCCAATGTTATGATGTTTCTTCCTGATCCGTAGCTTTCACACTTCGCCTTATTCATCAAATCTCTCCTCATCTAGGTGATTCCTCTTCGACGATGGCTCCCGCCGCACCAGTCCTCCCCACCCGATTCCCCTGCTGGTGTCAGGCTGTATACTCATGGGGTGGAGAGACAAAAAGAGACTTGGGATTTGTGGAGGGTGACCTTATTGAATGCTTGAATGCTGGTGACGGATCATGGTGGACCGGCCGTCTACGTCGAAACAAACGTATGGTTGGCGTGTTCCCCTCGAACTTCGTCAAGGTGCTTGGAGATGACTTTGCCCCTGGTAGTCGGTCCATCAGTCCAATGCCTGGTGGTCCTGCCGGATCGACAATGAATTCACTCCGTTTATCAGCCTCCAATTCTGCTGCTGAACCCCCTAAGAAACAGAAGACCGTATTTCGCAAGCCATTTCAGGGTTACAAAGAAGTTGTCGGACCTTCGGAAACGTTGCGGATTAGACAGAATGAGGAAAATGTTAACAATAATAATAATAACAATAATTGCAACAATAACAACAATGGGTCAATGGTTTCATCTTTACAAAATTCATCGACACGAGAGAGCCCCGGTTCAGCGAGAACTCCACCCTCGTTAACTAAGCATCGTGAATCTTCCTCACGCGGGTCTCCGCACTCTGTTTCCCCCGCTGCACCTAAACATCAAAGCTCCATTTCTAGCTCCATCCCCCCTTCAAACATGCAACAGTTTGGATCCATTTCCCGTCCCATTTCTCCTTTGCCTTTGCAACATTGCGGGTCTATTTCCAACCAGGGCCGCCCTGTATCTCCAACCCAAATCCAAGACCTTGGTTCATTCCCTTATCGCCCTCCTTCCGCCGTTTCTCCTGTGGCGATAGAACACCATCCGTCAGTAACCCGTGCTGTGTCTCCTTCACCCATGCACCATCGTGGTTCTTTCAATCACCATCATCCTCTTCCCCGTTCAATCTCTCCAGCACCACCTATACAGCACTGGGAGCCCATATCCCATTCTAGGTCTCCTTCCCCTATGCCACCTCAGGGTTCTTACTCCGACCTATCTCCTCGTGCGGTTTCCCCAGCTCCAATTCAGCAGCGTGGTTATTTCTCCCATCGCCATAATCCATCTCATGCCATATCTTCAGCTCCAGTTCAACAATCTGGCTTCATATCCCATGCTGGGTCTCCTCTCCCCATGGAACACCATGGTTCTTTCTCGCAGCCTTTTCATCATGCCGTTTCCCCTGCACCACCTTCAGATGCTGAGTCTCCTCCACCTCCACCTCCCCCTCACCGAATTTCTGTCAAAAGCCAACCATCACCAAGGCACACCAATCCATCACCTATTTCTGCACCATATGCTATGAATCATGTGTATCCAATTATATCCAGGACTCCTTCTCCACATTCCCACTCTCCTGCGGTTTATGGCCACACTCCATCTCCGCTTAGAGATGCCATGGAAGATGTCATGTCCTCATTACAAGATATGGGTCTTAATCATGATGGCGCTTCTCCCGAGCCGCATCGATCTCGCTCTCCCTTCCATCCATGGTCCCCAGAAGCCTTCAACCATCTTCAAGATCATAAGGCGCCTAATCCAATCTACCGCCCCATGACCTCCCTGGGACTGGTTGACAGCAATAGTCAGCAATTTGAGAATAATCATTCTAGAGCACAAGATCAGCACCTAGATGGCCCACCCCAGTTGAATAATTACGTTCAGAGGATGGAAAGCAGACTCCGGCAGCTGCACGCACAAAATAGGAAATACTCAGACGAACTTCACATGACACCTGGGAGTAAAGGCTTTCCACTAACTCCAGCTACAAAAAGACCTATTCATTCCAAACCAGAGTCCTCTTCAAATCAAAGCAATCAGGGACCGCGACTAAGAACTCGAAAATCGGCATACGAACTTGATAAAGATGTTCTTGAGCGAACATTCACAACAAAATCTAGCGCTACCAATTCTTCCAGTGGTGTCCAAAGCGATGCGACAACCAATTCGTCAAGCACAAGACGTACCCATCGTAGCGTGATGAGTGGCCTATCAGCTTCAGGGTTTAGCGCTACTAGCGCCGCAAGCTTTGCACGGCATATAAGTAGACCCAATACCTCCATGGGTACATTCCATCCCTCTGGATTAATTGGCTCTGATAAAGCCTCTAACAGCAGCATGCGGCCCCAAACACCTCTGACAGGGATTTCTTTCCATTCCAGCCACGATTCTTCGAGGCAAGGAGCAACTTCGGCTGTTGGATGGAACGAATATAATAAAGACGTAACAAGTATGTACGGCGGTCTTACCACGCTCAAGACCAAAAAACCAGGTTTCCTCAAGAAAATTCTTGAGTCGGCCAAAACAGGGGCTGCGACAGCCCGGAGCAATATTGTTTCAAGTTCCGGGGGAGCCGCATCGCCAACTAAAAGTCGCGTGGCTTTGGGGATATCATCACATGCATCACCTCACTCTGGGAAAAATGTTGCAAAAGAAAATGGATTGGGTGGAACAGTGGACTGGGTTCAGGTGCGAAGAGATGTCAACAGGTCTACAACACCAAGCCGTCATGAACTGGTTGAGATGGCAGAAAGGTGCCAAATGCTTGACTACCCGGTAATATACGCGGTTGAGGAGCTCTATGAAAGTGCAGAGGGGGATGAGGGAATAGACGGATTACCGATAGCGGAACCGACTAATTGGGCCGCAGTGAATTTGCAGCTTGTTGACAAAAGTGTCCGCTTTATCAGTAGCCTACCGCCAATAATAAACCCGACCAGTCTATCCCAAGGGTATGTCTGTCGTCCGCACCGCAGTGATGGACAGCGGTTGCGTGCAATATTTACATGGGTTGGGGAAAGGATTGCATGGGATGATGACGTCTATGGGAGTGTCAATTTGAAAAGGGTCTTACAGATGAAAAGAGGAAGTTCTCAAGAAGTTGCCCATCTGGTACGGGAAATGTGCTCTGCTGTTGGACTGCACGCTGAGGTTGTGCATGGCTATCTCAAAACACCGGGAGAGCAACTGGATCTTGACTCCCTATCGCGTCCAAACCATTGGTGGAATGTAGTACTTATAGATGGAGAATGGCGGATCATGGATTGCTCTTTGGCCAGCCCGACTCACCCTCGAAGAAGTTTGTATTCAAATTTTAATTCCCAGGCTGCTGAGCCCTGGTACTTCCTAACTCGTCCAATGGAGATTTGCTACTCTCACGTTCCTCTTAACCCTGAGCAGCAGAAAATCTGTCCTCCCGTGTCTCCCGATGTTCTACTGGCGTTGCCTTGTGTTTGTCCGCCTTTCTTCAAGAACGGCCTTCGGTTTCCTAGTTATGATACAAGTCTTATCCGAATCAATGGGCTTGAGGTAGTCCATGTCCGTGTTTATGTACCGCCAGACGTTGAGTGTGTCGCAGAGGTTGAAGCTCTTGCGTTTGACCGCGATAACGATGGGGACTTCTTCGAGACTGGCGACACGGTCAAGAAACGTGCGCTTGCTCAGCCGGACTGGATTGGTGGACAGAAGCGATTCACGATCAAGGCTATGTTGCCTGGAGACGAGGGACAGGGTGTTTTGAAAGTATACGCCGGAAAGAAGGGACTAATGCATTCCATAAAGGATATCCCTCACCCTCTAGCGTTTGCGCTTCCAATTGTCCACACAGGAGATAACCCTCCCTACGAGTTTATACTCCGCCATCCAACACCTCACGCCCAACGTCATGACCTTTACGTCATCCAACCACAATGTTTCAAACTTGCAGTCAATAACACCTTTGTCTTCGCCGTCCGCCAACACCCGTCATCGCTCCCCTCCAATTCCGCAAATTCCAGTGATGGTAATTGCCACATCTCGCAAAACCCCTTCTCTCGTCCCGCCAGTGCTCTCAGCATGACATCCTCCGTCACAGGCTCAAACGCATCGACAGGTTCCTCATATATAAATCA